TGCTGAATACCCACTGCATTTTATACAAACCTCTTCTAATATAGTTATCGCTCTGTAGTATCTACTATATATGTAGATATATAAACATATATTCATAGATTTACATAAATGTCTCTCCAAAGGATATCTTAAAGCCAGAAACCCTGTCTGATTCATTTACTCTTGAAACCTATAATGGTTACTGGTACATAATAATTATTCAGTTAATGTCCGTTGAACGAAAGAATAAACAACACTTAAATTATCTAACATACAAGGAGTTTCAAGTGTGTGTGTTGATATAAAGCAGCACAGATGGAAGAACATTTAAATTCATAAAAACAGAACTTTTCAGACATAAAGCTGCCCCTGAAGTGATACACAATTGACCCAGATGAAGATAAAACACTGGCTTATCTGATTCAGGAATGTGGGTGCCTGCTTGGTGTTGAGATATTTTCAACTTGGCATCAGCTTTTGGCTACCATTCTCGCTTTCCAAGAGAGGAAAGTGTCTCTTAACTAGTCCTACTCACATAATGCCATCTTGTACTCAAATTTAGAGAACTCACACAAAGTTATGAACAAATCATAATTACCTGAATGAGGTGGTGTTCTGGTGTGTACAGGTGGTTGAAAATGGCATGGTATAGAACCTGGGCTCTGTTATACTGGAGCAAATCAGCAGCTGGCTGGAATTAGACAAATTATCCAATTAAAAGAAAAGTTTCCCAAGATTGGCAAAATGTTGATTATCTTTGACATTGGATTATGGGTACACTAAGATTCATTATACCATTCTCTACTTATGTGTATAATCTAAAAGCTCCATAATACAAAGTTTTTTTTAAAAAGTTCCCTTGAGTAATAGCTTGCACATTTTGGTATAATCCATTTCAGGTTCTGATTTTATTTTTTTGCTTTTTTTTCTTCTTCATGTTTTGGAGTTGATACCTGTAGAAGCTTTTCTTATTATTATTTTTTTATTTTTTTTGTTCTTGTTTTTGTTGTTCCTGAAGGTCAACTGTTAATCACTCAAGGTCTTGTTATGCCGTTTGATAATGACCCATGCTTTCCTGTTTCTTCTATAATTACCCTTTTAGTTATTACATTACCTATGGGATACAATACCAGGTTGGCAGAGGAAAAATACAAGGAGGAAAATTACAAATAAGTAAACTTAATAACAGAGTTAATAGAAAACCAGTTAATAAATGACAGACTCAAAAACAAACAGTGACATCATGAATGAGGAACAGCCGTGAATGACTTGGTCTGTCCCATCAGTACAGACCACAGACAGCAGAGGTCGCTTACCACGTTAAGCACAACGTGATGCAGGCAGCGTACACCCAGGATTTTGTTCTCAGTTTGATAATCATCTGAGATAAGCAATGAAGGGGGAAGTATCCTTTCTAGATGTTGGTTCAGCCAGGGTCGACTGACCTGTTGCAGAGTCCATGAGAAAACATGTTTGATGGCAGGGTTATTCTTCCAGGAGTCCCTAAACGGACACATGAAACCACATCAAGTAAAGTGACATGGTGGTGTTAAGTAGCAGAGAAAATTAACCAGTTCAAGCTAAATAGAGTATTTTCTTGTCCTTGAAAAAAATACATCACACGTAAGACAACTCTTAATTCTATACTACATGTTTTAAGATTTGGATTAGAATAACTTATATAACTTGCACTAAATAGATTTAATAATCACCCGGCTCCAGGTCTAAAGCCAATCCAATGAGAAGTAACCACTTATAATCACAGCTGGTGGTTAGAGGTGGTGGTTACAGTGAAGATGTATTCAGAAGGGAATAGTAAAGGAAACATTAATATTATTATGCTAAGGAAACAAATGAATCAATATCTGAACACCAATTTATAGCTTATAAAATGAGTTTACACGCGACTCAAGTAATCCACAAAATAGTAACAGTGTAATAGGTATATTATCTTCATATTACAAACAATGAAACTGAGATTCAGAGAGGCTGTTTAAGCTACTCAGAGCAATAAAAAGAAGCACCAGACTTAAAACCAAGCCTTTTAACTCCATGTTCCTGGTAAAATGACAGTTCATCACTCCAGTGCCAACAAAGTAGCAAGTGGAAACCCACCAGCAGTACTTGAGCTAATAGCAATCTAAAGGGTTTTTATTTTTCCATCCCAATCATTGCTTCCTTGTCTGGTAACCATCCCTATCTAATAACTAATGATGAGTTTCAAGATCCCTAAATCTAAATTCAAACCATGAATTTAAATCCTCTCCAAATTCCCATCCAAATTCCAACAGTCTGGAATTATTAACTTCATTCCATATAAGTGGGACAGGATTTCAAATTTTCCAAGGCAGTTGTCAATGAGGGCTGGAAAGAGCCCCAGGAAAACTGAGTCTGAAGACCTCGGTGATGATCTCAAGTTTGCTACTACCCAGTTATGCCCTTTATAGCAAATCACAACCTTACTGGACCTTAAGAAATGTGCTATTACAACACCCTTATTTTACTGGTGCAGAAACTCAGTTCCTTTGAGCTCCAACGTTCTAAAATGTGAGGTTGAGGCTCGAGTCGGTTGCGAAGCGTAAGGAGTACTTACTTATTCAAATCGGGTTTGAGAAGTCCCAGTATCACAGCAAATCTCCCTTTCTCATCTTCATTTTCTCCGTGTAGAAATCCTGCCACAGAACCGCATTCGGTAACTTGAAGCAGTAACGCGAGAACCTCTCTAGCAACTTCCCGTGATCTTGGGCTGGTCCACGGTTGCTCCAAGCTGTGTGTGACGGCAAAAACGTAGATGGGTCCCGCCAAGTGACGGAGACCTGTCTTCCATTCAGGGCAGACCGGAGAATTCTTGGAAGCCTCAACTTTCCCCAACAGCTTAAGAAACAGTAACCCGACTTCTGTTGCTTTCTCGGCCACTTGATTGTGACCCTCGGCTCTACCGTCCTCCTCCTTAGGTGGGGCTGCATACTTCTCCAGAGCTTTCGCCACCCGCCCTAGGAGCTCAGTCATTCCGCGGAGCGGTGCGCCACTCCCCTCAAACAACCTATCACACTCTGTGTCTTCTATTAGAGCACCGAGGTCTTTAAGAGCTGCGTCTCTTGCTGTGCCCAGTCGTGCCTCTTGGCCGGTAAGACAGTGCAGAATCTTGGAGAAGGCCCGTCCAAGGGCGGAGGGACACCACTCTCCAGGCGAGGAAGAGCCTTCCTGCGGCCGGGTTTCCCGAGCGCGCTCAAGCTCCATTCCTCAGACTGCAGCACGGAAGGGCTGGTCGCCCGCAGAGGACGAGGACGGAGGCAGGGAAAGAGGAAAAGGCGATCCCGCTAAAGAGGGAAGGAGAGGTCACCGGAGGCTGAACTTCTCCCAGAGAACATTAATAACTAAAATCAAATTAAATAAAACGGCAAGACGTCTTGGAGAAGGGGGAGTCTCACAGGGATAAGAATAAAGTGAGTGTAAGGGAAGGGACCCCCAGAAAGGGAAAGGGAAATCTCTAGTAACAGAGTCTCAGGCTTGTAACAGTGAAGTGGAGAAATTACTACAGCCTTTCTGAAGACTCAAAAGAAAAAAAATCAAAGTTTAAGAAATAAACTCCTGAGCATGACACGAGCACAATGGACAGGTACCTGTAGCCTTTCCCACAGAACGCCCGTGACTGGCAGGATCCGGACTCAGCTAACATTGCTGCCGCAAAGTGCAAGGCCAGCTTCCGCCAATACTGCCGCAACGCTTCGTCATTTCACGACCTACGGTCGTAAAGCCAATAAAGATCCAGGTGGGGGGGGGTGGAAGGGTGGAGCCACGGAGAATATATTTGCATATATAACGATCCGCTTTCTAAATTTGTTTCCTTTTTCATTGGTTAAGACACAAACAAAACGAATAATCAAGGAATAGTAGTGTGAGTTTTTTAAATGTAGAGGATTTTATATGTAAGACTGAATATATATGGACTATATTAGTCACCCTTTCTGTAAAATTAGTGGCACATACCTGGGGCCCTTTAACAATGTCCGCGCGCTGATCCTTTTGTAGTTCATAAGCATGATGATTGGGTTTTCACGCGCATGCGTGAGATGTGCCTCCCACAAATCTTGTTACGACGCCGGCACATTACCCGTCTGACTTGAACTTTAGAGGATCCTTTTAACATGTGGTTGCCGGCGAGACTGTAATGGCTTCAGTTTGTAGTTAGTCCATGTTTGATCTTTGCCAAGTGACACGGTTAACCCGCAGTAATGTCCAGCTTTGCGTTTGCTTGGTTTTCTGAGACTGGTTTTTTTTGTCTGTGACCAGAACCGTTGTGGAATTAGAAGCTGGTGTCCGAGGTGTTTGGTCCGGGAGGTGGAATCCGGCTCTTGCCGCCCGCGGTGTGAGCGGCGCGTTCCCGGGGACCCGCGGGCGGTGACGGGACAATCCCCGGAGCAAGCCTGGAGAGCCGCCGCGCCTGCGGGCTCCGGCCCCCGGGTTGAGGGAACCCGCCGTCCTGGGCTGGGTTTGATCACGCGGTGTGCGGCCGCTCTGTTAGCCATTCTCACGCTGCTTCGTCATCATTGTTATCCCTGAGGGTGGCCTTGGGTCCGCTGGACCCTCGGTTCCCCAGGGCTGGTGACGTCACAGTGCCAGGCCATCCTTGGGAACTCGAGACTCTCATAGCTTCCACCGTGTGGTGGGAGGCCGAGCAGGCAAACTTCATTTGTGCCACCGCACGCGCGGGAGCGGAGAAAGATGGGCCTCGGACACCGGGAGGAGTCGCGCCGAGACCGCCCGGCCAGTGCCCGGAGAGGGACACTCTGGGGGAGCTGCTGCTCCCGGCGCTGAATCTTTGCAGCGAATCCAGCAGGTCGCCTGTAGGCTTCGGGATTCGTCCGCATCAAGGCCCCCAAGAGTCCAGAGAAAGCCCTTCAGGGTCTTCCGATCTAGTGGGAGGTGGGGTGTGTGCGCGGGTAGGGGCAGGTTAGGGAGGGGTGAGACACGTCGCGAATCCGATGTCCTGCCTAGGAGGTGGTTATGGTGCAGGGACACATACAATACTTTTGCCCTACCTTGGAGAGGGCACGCGCTTCTTGGTACACTACTTGCAACTATTCCATCTACGATGTCCTCGTACCTGCCTGCCTCCTGCCCGCCCGCCCTTTTTCTTTCTTGCTGTATGACCTTAGGGAAAGTTCGGTAACCTTCTCGGTGCCTTGATTTCTTCTTTCTTTCTCTCTCTCTTTCTTTCTTTTCTTTTTCTGTTTTTCTTTTCTTTCTTTCTCCTCCTTCTTTCCTTCCTCCCTTCTTTCCTTTCTTGTCTTTCTTTCTGTTTTAGAGACAGGGCCTCGCTCTGTCACCCAGATACAGCTCACTGCAGCCTCCAACTCCTGGGTTCAAGTGATCCTCCCACCTCAGCCTGCCAAGTAGCTGGGACTAGAGGGCTATGCCACCACCCCCAGCTTTTTGTTTGTTTGTTTGTTTTGTTTTGTTTTTGTTGAGAGTGTCACTGTGTTGCCCAAGCTGGTCTTGAACTCCTGGCGTAAAGTGATCCTTTGGCCTTGGCCTCCCAAAGTGCTGGGATTACAGGCGTGAGCCACTGAGCCCAGCCTGTGCCTTAATTTCTTTATTGGAAAAAAATGTGGGTAGTAATAATCCCTACCTCTTAGGATTGTTATGAGAAATAAAGGAGTTAAATATATGTAAACTGCTTAGAACAATGTCTGTTCAGCGGAAAGTTCTATTAATATGTAGGTGTTGGCTCCTATTGTTAAACCACAGCTGCTGGGTTAATTTACATTTCCTCTTTCCGGAGGAATTTTGCCATTAGAACCTCTTTCGTTTGGTTTTACCTTCTGTGACCAATTGGTGGCACTCATGATTTTCTAAGCAATTTCAATCACGGATAACCATTTGCTCCCAAGGGAACTCTCCTGTATAAAGGCCCTAGTGGAAGCAAGATGCCAATCAATAGACAGTTATTGTGTCCCTCCTGTGCGTTAGGTTTCTTCCCTGTTCCTTGTGCCCCTTGTGCTAAGTGGATCCAAGCACGCACTTGGTTATGAGGAAAGTACTTGTATTGTAGAGACCTCCCCCGCTACACTCAGTTTCCTGAAGCCAGAGGCCATGTCTTTATGCCCAGTGCCTGGCACAATTTGTTCATGTAATAAATGTTTGTTGAACCCACATGTCCATCCACAGAGGACTGGCTGAATAAACCACGTACATCTACACAATGCAGTTCTGTGCAGCTGTACAGAAGAAAGAGGACCATCTTTGTGGACTGTCAGGGAACTCAGGATGTATTGTTAAGTGAAAAAAAAAATAGGGCGGAGGCCATGTATATGTTGCTTTTCTTGTAAGAAAGATGGGAAAATAGAAATAATCATGTGTGCATTTGCTTATATGTTAAAGAAGAAGTAATAGAGTATCAATGACGACCTAACAAAATTGGTTACATATAAGAAAACAGGGTGAAGGAAAGAGGAATAGAAGCCAGACTTCTCTGTATACACTGCGTTTTATTGTTGTGACGTTGGAATCATGTAAATTTTTTACATAATTATTTTTGGAAAGAAAATAACAAAGTATTTCCTAAAAGAATAGAAATAAAATGTGTATTGAGTCACTAGCATAACCACATAGAAAAATAAGAAACTGACTTTAAAACTCATTAATTTGACTACATATCCTTAGTGTAACATAGTCTCAGGACAGACAAGAATGGCAAAGAAATCAACTGCATTTAGTAATAGTATTGTTAGTAATAATACTGGTATTGCTATTTGGATGCTATTACATATATTGTGTATAATTTACATATATATATAAATAGCAAATAAGCAATTATCTTAATATTGTTAGAAACCAAGGCTTTCAGTTAAAAGAGATACAAGTGTCAAATCAGCGAAGTTAGGTATAAATTCTATAATCTGAAATTTGAATTGGCATTGTCAGTATGATTTCATAGTTAAGTTTTCTTGTTCTACAAAATACGTATATCTTGATTGTGTCCACTGAATGGACCAAGAAACAATGACAGTCCAATAGCTCTGAGCATCCCTAGTCCAAATTTATAGTCTAAATGCCATTTCCCACTAACAGGAACCAGCGAACCTTTAGAAAATGATTGATTTCAGAATTGGGGCAGGAAGTGCACAGCTTGTAGTGTTTTGTTATGCCGGAAAGCAAGGTAGCTATCAAATGCCTCTGAGGTGAGGTAAAAATAACACAAGATCCAAGATGAGGGGCACCCTTTAGCCAAAGATGGAACGATCTAGAATGAAAAAGAATAATGGCTACAATGAATTGAAACATAGCAAATATATACAAATCCATGAATTCATAGTGATACTAAAAACAATCCCTCATCGCCCACCTTTGGCTCACCTATGGAACCAACTGTTTATTTTGAACATTGGTATATAAAAGGGGAAAAAAATCAAGCATTTATTCTGCTATATGTTTTGTGAGGGTAAAAAGTGCTATGGAACTGGTGGAATTAGGAAGTCACTATTCATACCTTCTAATGAAGTATGGGGACAAGGACAGTCACCGATGGTGATTACAATTACGAGGGGAAAGGTTGATGGGAAACTATCACTGAACTACTGATTTATCTAACATCACTATGAGTGAGACAACCAGACACCATGTGCCTCTTGAGGCAATGGAGTAGGAAGAACACACCACCTATAAAATACTCTTGCATAAAAATCGATCCTGGCCGGGCGCGGTGGCTCATGCCTGTAATCCTAGCTCTCTGGGAGGCTGAGGCGGGCAGATTGTTTGAGCTCAGGAGTTCGAAACCAGCCTGAGCAAGAGCGAGACCCCGTCTCTACTAAAAACAGAAAGAAAATTAATCGGACAACTAAAAATACATAGAAAAAATTAGCCGGGCATGGTGGCCCATGCCTGTAGTCCCAGCTACTCGGGAGGCTGAGGCAGAAGGATTGCTTGAGCCCAGGAGTTTGAGGTTGCTGTGAGCTAGGCTGACGCCACGGCACTCTAGCCCGGGGAAAAGAGTGAGACTTTGTCTCAAAAAAAAAAAAAAAAATCAATCCTAAGTCTACTCAAACTTCTAGATCTACTACCACATGACAAGAAATATGGAGGACAAAGAAACAAAAGGTACCAAGATAGTATAATCAGTCAAGCCAAGGAGGTGGGAAATTCTACAAATTTCCCAGTTTCTTAAATAAATATTATAACCAGCATGAAAGCAATGGCATGGAGGGAGAACTGATATAGGTTAAAAGTTTTAAGATATCTCAACCAGCAAGGTAGGATCTTATTTTCAGTAAACAAAATGTTAAAAAGACATATTTAAGACAGTTGGGGAAATGTGAACTTAGATCAGCTATTAGGGTGTTTATATCATTTATCATCTAAGCAGAATATGTTGAGAGTTCATATTTTTAATAATTACGTTGGTACAGAGGTGTAACCTGGATGTGTCCCACGGAAACTTGACTATCTGGGTATTACTCAGTTTTGCAGAATTATTGTTAATTTTTTTAGATTGATACTGTTGGTATGTTTCTGTATTCTTTAAAGCTATTTGTTAGAAAAGCAATTCTCAAAGTGTTTAGTCTTAGGACCCTTTACCCTCTAAAAAGTTATCGAGTCATACTCACTAGGCTGTCTAGAATCAAA